ATTAATAGACAAGGTAGAAGTTATTTTATAAATGTCTCCATCTTTAACCTTTTATTTTAAAAGGTGTAGCATTATTCACTTATTTTCTAATGCTAAAAAACTCAAATATAAAATGTATTCAACTATAATATTACTGTAAAAATTTCAAAATAAAAACATATTGTACTTTCAAAAAGACCCCCCCCCAAAAAAAAAAAAATTAAAATCAAAATCAAAACTTCAATTGGCCTCAAGGGAACCCTAAGTGCTCTGGACTAGTTGGAAAAATTCTCTTTTCAACTCTGCAATCATTTATCCTTGAATATTCATACAATAATGAAAAATGTTAACAACGGCTTAATAATAATAAATATTTAAAAAGTATGTATACAAAATGTACAAATATTTTGAAATATTTAAAAATTATTAATAAATCTTTTTTTTTTCAAATCTTTTGTTTTTTGTTTTAATTTTTTATTTTATATTATTTACTTGTTGACAATTCAATGGACTCTAAGCACCACCCTAAAAAAACATGAGAAACTATTTTTATGTAAAGGGTGCGTCGTGTGAATAATATAATATAATGTATTGTTTTAATTTTTAATTAAATTAAAGTCAAAATTTGATATAGCTAAACATACAATATCTCAGACCGAACATAAAGAGAATTTACAAATTTCATTTTTACTACATGTTGGTTAATAAATAAAATAGTAGATCAAGTTTTTTTATCAAGCGATGCACCGATTACATAAAATATTGTGATGTTTTGAGAAATCGATAAAAAATTAATTTTTTAATTTTTTAAACTTTTTGATAACTTTTTTAGCTTAAAAAAATTAACTTTTTAAAACTTTTTTTGTGATTTTTTTATATAAAAAATTAAAAAATCAAAAAAATTACGTTTCACCAAATTTTCAAATTGGCCCATTCTCTGAAAAAAACATTGGGAACACGTTGGGACAAAAACTAGAGAAGTGAAGTGACGTAATTAATAGTACTTTCAACTTTGTTGAACAAATACAAAAAAAAGGTAGGGAAAAGTATAAAAAAATGATTGATTTGCAATCTCTGAAAACGACTTTATTGCAAAATTTATTACATTTTCTTGCTCGCTAAAATGTCCTTGTTTTTGCCGTTTTCCCTGAAGGAAATTTCAAACTTACAACCACCATTCTAATTTCTTTTCAGAATCATGCAACTTGTGACAAATCTTTAGTGAAAGATATTTTATTAAAAAAAAGTACAAAATTAATAAGGTGAAAGAAATTAAAAAATTAGTTATGTTGTTTTCAAAGGATTCCACTTGTCTCCTATTTAAAATTTATATTAGAGGGATTGTCTACGCCATTGTTTGTGAAGTTCACAATCAATCATGTTTCAATTATATAAACTATTTATTTTTTATGGTCATGTTTTTATATTATTCAAAAAAATTAGATCAATTCGATAATTGTAATCTCTCCATTTTATTGCACTGGTCGCCAAAAAGCTGAATGATCTATTTTCAAAAACAAATTTATCATCTATTTTTAGAAACAAATGTTATAAAAAGAAATTTTTTTTATAATTATTGAATTGACTTAAAATGAGATTCGTGGTAAGTTCGACAGGCTTAGATAGCATCTATAGCTCAAATTTTGGACCTGAGACAAGTCTAATACATTTTCAAATACCTTTGGCATTTTTCTACATGATTTTTAAATAAAACCAAATATTTCTGGATTACCGAGTACCAAATGTTAGACTGCTCATTATCTTGTCCAATGCCACTAAACAACAAACAGTTAACGTGATTTAATTTAATTTTTTTTTTTATCAAAAATGTTTGGAAATCTCAAAGTTCGGGGCTTCCATGACCTCAAAAATAATGTAGACCAATCATGTGTTTTTATTTTTTTATTTTTGTTATTTTTTTTTCTTTTTTCTTTCCTTCCTGGACCAATCAGAGGTGAATAAGAGTTGTGTTTTTTTGGAGTACGTAGCATTGTTGATTTTTTATTTGTCAAGAATGCAACATATACTATTTAATAATTTTTTCAAGTGGGGATGGTCTGTTATCATGAGTCCAAAATTTTTATTTCAAGGATAAAATATTATGGTGATAATAAAAGGTGGTTATCTCACTCTCTGAACAAACCCATGATCCATGTTGCAATGCTATCAACTTTCTTGGGCCTACAATAACTGGGCTGGGGTTGTAGTTGGCCTACATCTATGTTTACCCTTTTAAAGCTCTTTTTCACTCAAAAAATATCATGCCTGGCATATAATGAGGCAATATCATACATTCAAAAACTTAAGTTTTATAATTGATAGCATTTTTTCCTTTTTTTAAACTTTTTAAAATTGGAGCAAAATAGAGTAATAATTTTCAAGTTTTCAAAATATGAAAGGAAAAAATTGTGTTTTCTCATGTTTTGGTTTAAAAAAAAAAAAAAGTTAATTCTCTCCCCATTTCCACCACTCCTCCGTTCGACTACCTGTACCCTCTGGCCACTCTCATTCCTCCAACAATACACGAAACATGTTTTTTCTTATTTTTGTTTTTGTGTTTTCAAATCATATGAATATTATTAAAATGCAATTTATTTTATTTTTTAAAACATAAAAAATAATTTTTCTATAAATAGGAAGTCAGAAACTGATAATGTTATCAAATGCAACCTAAACTTTTTAATTCATATAAACAATAAATTATCAACAACAACAACAAAAGAACTTATTAATACTGTTATTTCGACATAAAAGAAAATATCAATACTTGAACTTCTACCATTGCTCACTATGAATTTTCATATTTTAAAATCGTTACACAGTAAGCTCATTATCAATACATTCAAATACAATTTTTTTTTAATTTATGAAACTAAACAATTATTTATTCCATGATCTAATCAAACGTACAAAATAGAAAATTGGGATAGATGTTCAAAATTTGGTAGAGCGAGACTCAGACAAAAATATATATATATATATATATTAATTTTGTTTCTGAAGTGTGACAAATGACCAGTCAAAATAATGAATACCCAAAGCTATTAAGTGGTGCCGCTCATGCATCTAATAGATTTATCAGCTGTAGCTTTGGTGATAAAATTTCTAAGTACATGTAATTGAATCTCACTTTCGCAAAGTATTTGGGTCACTGTTGTGTGCAACACATTGTTGTGTACTTTATGTGGTTCAATTCAGATCTTATTTTATTAATAAGAAATGTTCATTTTGAAGGTATATCAAGTATAACATACTTGTAAAAAATCAAATTGATCGAACATCAACCCTTTACAACGATTTTTGTATGGAAGCCTCATTTGCTTTTATTTGTGGTTTGTAGATTTGATTTTTTTTTTCTTTTTTTTTTTGATCAGCAAAGAAACCCTTATTGATAAAAAAAGATCACATTACATCAAGAAAGGAAAAAAGATGGGTGCAAAAAGCATCATAGCGAGACATATCAATTCCAATTAGGTTGGTACCAATATGCCGGCCCAATCCCTTGCTAGCATGCCATTAGGAGTTGGTGAGATGCCAACCGAAGCGAAGAAAAACACAACAAATGGGTTTTACATAGTATGACTATTATAATTGTGTTTTACATAGTAGGACTATTATAGTTTAGGATGGGTTTCTCTTGTTTTTGGTATAATGGATCCACGGTGGATGGCTCACAAGATGGGCTATTAATTCAGTGGTAGATCACGCCCTAATCCCGATTCCAACGTTGGCATCAATCTCAAATATGACTTCAATCTGAGGAGTTCCTAGGTCAAAACAAATAACACATCTATAAACATACATATGTGAAACAGCTATTCAATTTCTTGGTAGATATGAAGAATGCTAAACTCCAAGATTTTCACTTGGCATACAATTTGATTCACAGTTCAGTGAAAATTGCATATTGTCTAAGGTTTGCTTTATTTATTTATTTTTACAACTATTAGACCGAATTTGAAGAAATTTGTGGTGGATTGATCCAATTTCATAAAGTCCATTCAACTCATTGGATGATTAAAAATAAAAAATAGTAGGAACCATCTTTATTTTTTGTGGGAGTGTAAAGAAAAAAATTGATTAACTAGTAAATTAATCCTATTAGTTCAAATTGCACAATTTGGTTCCGTTTTTGAAGATGCAGTTTGGTTACACTTCAAGTAATTAAGAATAGTTTATTACAATTTGATTTACAATTTAATGTTTAAAAGAATTGGATAAAATCAAACCATTAATTTTTTAAAAAAAAATTAATTTTCATACTACACTACGTATAAAATTTTAGCCATTCTATTTTACATCTCTTTTTTCATTTACTTTTACTTTCTCTTCATATTATTATAATGGGATTGGCTTCTCTCTAACTCAAAATCAGACTAGAGAGATGTTGTACGGCCCATTGCGCATACTTTTGGGTTCCGTTTCGATAATCTAAACCGTTCACATTTTAGGGTTCGTCGATTATATTATTCTTGAAAAACATCAAGTCAATCAGATAACGAAATCCACGTGTTCGGATCAATTTATATGAAAAAAATAGATGTTGGGAAAATTAACGGTTCATACAAAATTTATCTGAACACGTAGTTTCCGTTATCAAGTCAACTTATTTTTCACAAGAATAATATACGTGACTAATTCTTAAATGTAAACAATTTGAATTGGGACTCAAAAATAAACCCAATGGGCCGGATTAAACTATCCAGTTTGATTTCGGACTGGAAAACAGTCCAGATCCTATTGTAATATATAAATAAATAGTAGATCATCAAGAACAAAACAACAAATGAATAAGAGAACCTCTTTACAATCGTGAGAAAAGAAAAATAAAACATAATATAATTAGAAATATTAATAAAAACAATGAAGAAAAAGATGAGATAAAGAAATGAGACAAAAGAGCAAAAACATATATATAATATATGTATTTAAATTCTTGAAACCGTCACAATTGGTTTTGATCTTGATTCACCTCATAACCAAACCAAATCATACCGTATACACTCTTAATTTGTTTGAATACGATGAATTCTATATATATACATAATGTGCATTGTATGCATCAATCAAGTGCAATTGAGCTAAAACCAATTTAGCCACCAAGCAATTGCTTTTTTCGCCTCTCTTTTACCTGTCACTAACGGTCTTTTGTCATTCATTCAAGACCAAGGGAAAAGAAACATCATCGGAAAATTAAAATAAAAATGTCAAAAGCGGTGGTTCTAGCCACCACCACCACCGCTTTCATCCTCCTTATAATTTGCTTTCAGAAAATCAAAACAAATCATAAAGATTATGGACCAAGAGGCCTAAGTCGTCGTTTAGGTTTCAAAATTTTACCCCCACCCTTCGACCCTCTAATTGTTAAAACGGAGAAATTGATCGAAGAAAAAGGTTTAGATCACTGGGAAACCAGCTCGCTGGCTAATCACGAGCTTAGTACAAAGGACATGGATAAATACTCGAGCGATAAGGGGAGACTAAACATAACCTTGAGGTTGATATATTTGTTTCCATTCCTTGACAATGCACCAAAAGATGGATTTGTGGAATGCAACGAGCTCGAAGCTTGGATTATGCAACAAGCGACTGATCGCATGAATTACAGGACACAAAAAGACTTGGCTTTGCATGACAAGGATGGAGATGAAGCCATTTCATTTCAAGAATACATCCCTCAGTTTTCGATCCAAGATCTAGGTAAAATTATTTTTCTCATGTTTTTGTTTCATATAACATCATTTGGTTGCCTAGAAAATGGTGGAAAGAAGAAGGAAAATTTGGAACCTACAACTAGTTTGGAGAAGGGGAGAGGAGGGGAGGGGAGGGAATCGGAGATGGAAAGCCAGAAAGGTTGTTGTATGATTCCATATTTCCTTCATTTTTTCTTTATTTTCTTGACAACCAAATGGAACAATAAGATGTTTTACCTACAGGGTTATGACAATAGGAGTGTCTTCAACAGCGAGAAACGAAATGGGGCACGGTGAAGCTGGATGGTGGAAGGAACAATTTAAAAATGCCGACATTGACCTCAATGGAATTCTCAACTTCTATGAATTCAGAGAGTAATTTTTTTCCTTCTCTGTGCTTTTTAATATCCATGTTGAAATGTATAGTTTTCCAATGAGCTGCAAAGTTTAATCGAAACCAACAACATTTTATTTATTTTTTATTTTTTTATTTTTTTGCAGTTTCTTGCACCCGGAGGATAGCAATAATGAACAGATTCATAAATGGTTGTTGACAGAAAAATTAAAGTAAGTCTGTAAATTTATGGATGAGCGATAGCGGCTCCTGTTTACTAATAGATCTGCCGCCGCTAGTATAACAAAAAAAAGCACATAAGGATCCGGAGAAACTGATCACTGATCAGGATCATATACAGCCCGGTATTACCAGAAAGGATAGTCGTGATAAAAAAAAAAAAAGGCGGAGGATTGTACCTGGAAATAGAAGCTCTGTCCCCCTCACACACTGTTTTGTATTTTATTTTTATTTTTAAATCTTTGCAATACTTAAACTAGGCATCAAAATACCAATGTGCTCCACTTTCCTCATTTGATGTTTTCTTTTACATGCTTAATATCAATTTTTTTTTTTTTTTTGAATGATCAGGCCAATTGACTATGATCATGATGAGAAACTTAGTTTCTTGGAGTTCAAAAATGGGATTTATGACATCTACAAGAACTATGTTGAATTCGAAAATGGAGGAGCAAATGTACCCTACCCTGAAGATGTGTTTGTCGAGCTTGATGTGAATGAGGACAAGTATATGTTCTTTGATCTCTGAACTATTTTTCCATTAAAAAAAAAAAAAGAGAAAAAAAGTGAAAATTTATTGATGAGAGGCATTGTAAGAGTTGAGAAGATTTAACTTAGCTCATGATTATATGTATTTGTTTCCTCTGCTAATTTCCATGGCTTAAAAATGTGTTGGCAGATTACTAAGAGTGGAAGAGCTAAAACCCATATTCCATTACTTGAGCCCCGGAGAGCTTTCATATGCTAAATATTATGCCATTTATCTTATTCAAGAGGTAAGTCGTTATCTTTGAATTTATTCAACGTGTTTCCTAATTACCAAGCGTGATGCCCGAGTTTAAGTCTCATTGCTGCACAATGTGGCTTCCCTTTTCCCTCCTTCCAATTGTTTAAACAGAAATATGTTTCACGATATTTTATCAATTATTGCGAAAGATTTAGCTGTTGACGATCATCTTGCATCTCCATTTCATGGTGATCTTCGTTTATTAGAAGAAATTGGATTGGTTGGCATTGTGAATAGGATAATGGATGGAATTTCTCATTTGTGCATTGCTTTAATTCAGGCTGATGACAATGAAGATGGGAAGCTAACTCTAGATGAGATGATTTGGCATGAAAATATATTCTACAACTCAGTTTATGAGGATGGAATATTTGATGATGACGATGATCTTCATGAAGAACTTTGAAGTTTTGAGCGCTTCAAAATTGATGGTTGATCACCGGAATTAGGAAATCTTTATATTTTTTATTTAATGAATGAGAATTACTATTTCAATTCATCTAGATTTCCCACAACATTCATACATTCCCCAAACTTCAATTCCATAAGAGCAAGTTGTGACTTCTTTATTTCTTTATTTCTACTAGTGGTTGGTGGTTGGGCATGTGCGTTACACGTCGCATGTGATTTTTAACTGTTAGTATTGTAATTATACTTGTTGTCATGACCCAAACCCGCCCCTAAATGTTAGGATCATAATCGGCTGGTAATCATTAGATTACCTACGGCTTCAAACAGAAAACAAATTTTAAATAATTATATGGGGCCAAAAGCGGAAGCAAAAAGATAATATTTGACCAATGAGCTTGTGCATAAATGGAATGAACAAAAAACATTTCTTTTATTAAAAACTCACACCAAACATACCCACATAAAAGACATTCTATGTCTAGGTCCATGCAACACCGTATTTATACAAAACCATAGCTTACATACAGATAAGGTCAAACATGACCATCGAAAGAAGACAAAAGGGTCAAAACGATAGTTCTAAAACTAAGGCCTCGTTCATGAGGTGTGTCATGGTTAACTTCACAAACTTGACATTCTTTCTTGGGTTCGTTACGGTTAGGGTTGGCATATATCTTGCTGCTCACCTACATACATATATACAAAGAGTGAGCGAAAGCCCAATGAATAATACCATAGTAAAGAGGTTATACGAATGAGATTTATATTAAGTACATCGAACCCATACATTTCATATACAAACGGCCTTAGGCCCATTCTGTGCTTTTCTTGTACATGTCAAACGGCCTCGAGCCCATTGCATCAAACATATTAGACGGCCTCAAGCCCATTGCATAACTTTGTCGGACTCATCAAACGACCTCGGGCCCAATTCAAACACTTTAATGTATCAAACGGCCTCGGGCCCATTATTTCCATATTCATATCTATGCGTATTTCATATTCATGGTCGTGATCACTTTTCATTCAAACGGCCTTTGGCCCACTACATTCATATTCAAACGGCCTTTGGCCCATCACAATATTCAAACGGCCTTTGGCCCCTTGCATTCATGTTCAGACGGCCTTGGGCCCGTCATATATTATTCAAACGGCTTTTGGCCCATCATAATATTCAAGCGGTCTTTGGCCTATTGCATTCGTATTCAAACGGCTTTGGGGCCCATCACATATTATTCAAACCGCCTTTGGCCCATCATTATATTCAAATGACCCTTGGCTTATTGCATTCATATTTAGACGGCCTTGGGCCCATCACATATTATTCAAACAGTCTTTGACCCATCATAATATTCAAACGGTCTTTGGCCCATCACATTTGTATTCAATCGGCCTCAGGCCCAATTCATTTATATCAAACGGCCTCAGGCCTATTTGGTGACACATAATAGACAGCCCCAGGCCCATTCATCATAAGTTCAGAAAACTTACACGTGAGTAGTATTTAAAAATAGCATATATGAACATATCTTTACTAAAGTATTACTCACAGTGTTCGACTACTCGATTCGTCCTTGTACTTGACCTTACACAATTCGTCATACACATAGAAATCGGGTCACAATACAATTCATTCAATTCTTTAATTCATTTAATTTTCTTAGGCTCTTTCCAACTCTATAGTTCATTTATAATGCTCAGTACATGCCTAAGAGTGCTTAGAAGTGAAAGAGAATGGAAATCGAAATATGAACTAGCTTTTAAAATTTTCTGAAACAAGGCACTTTGTTCGAGCGCAGCTTTAATCGCTCGAGCAGACTGCAAAATTTACAAAATTTCTAGAAGCTTGATTTCTCCGCTCGAGTGACACTTTCCTCACTCGAGTGCACAGGTCAACTTTTGGAATTTCTAGAATTTTGTTTGAAGCTCAAAACACATTTCCAAAGGTCCACTCCATGTATAATACATTAATTCAAGAATAATGCTTGGGACCCCCTTTTGGGGGTCACCCCCTCACCCCCCTTTGCCACGTGGCAGGGGGTGATTGGTGGAGCAGGAAAAAAAAGAAAAAGAAAAAGAAAAGGTGACCAATGAGAGAGAGAGGGGGTCAAAGGGGGTGAGGAGAAAATGGGGGATGAATCATTATATGCAATGACATTCTCCAAAACATATATATTTAAGGTCATTTCTAACTCTTGGCTCAAATCTCCATGAATTTAACAATTTTAATACTTTTCTTCCTTTCTTATAAAACATAAAATTAAGCTACAAGCTTTTAGAAAAATATTTGCAAGTATAAAATTCAAATTAAAATCAAATCAATTCTCGATTGTCAAATTCTAAATCATAATTAATTTCTTGATTTATCCAAATTAATTTTTCTTCATATCGAACCCAATTTCAAACTCATAAATTCTAAAACAGGAATTAAACTTTCAAAATATAATCTCAAAACTTGGGTTTATACATGGCTTGTTTAAAAACACACAAACTCTTAATTGATCAAAAAGAATATGATCAATTTTTAAATCATTTACATCAAAATTTCTTTAATTTAAAAATTGAACTCATTTGTTCATAGACTCATAATTTTCCAAGGCTTAGTTCTTATTTCATCAAAACATGAAATCAATTCTAAGAAACCTATGATGCATGTACAATTAGAGTATTAAAACTTATAAAATTTGTTCATGCATATAGAAATAAAACTCAAATTCATGCAAGACTACAAAAATCAAACTCAACATAATTAATTCCCAATTTCACTTCCATAAATTTGAACCTACTTACTTCTTAATTTCAACTTCTAGATAATTTATCTAGAAGATTTGAG